GGGCATGAACTGACTGATGGCGGGGGAGGCGAAGGCGGGAAGGGTAGCGTAGTGGAAGGAGCGATGGATGCTGGGAAAGCGAGGATCTTCGTGAAGATGGCGAAAAGTGGCAATGTAGTTGGGGTAGATGGTGGAAAGGGTTTGACGCAAGGCGGCGCGAAAATCCTCACAGTCTTCACAGGCGGGGATTATTCCGGATATAACACATTATATTTCTACGTGGTTATATTCCCGCCAGTCTGCGCTAAACAGAAGCACATGAAGGAGGAAGGAATCAACTACAGAGCGGGTGGTGGCATGCGGATAGACGAAGACTAGAAGGCGGGTAGCGTAGAGATGGTAGAAAAGGTTCTGGGGGAAAGGGCACCATCCATCGGGGGGGAACGGAGGTCTACCAAGGAGGTGGGTAAGCATGAGGTAGTCACGGGGTCGGCGAGAGAATGACCGGGGACGAAGCCCGAACGCCGAGATCTTGACGTAGACGAACGGAAGGCCGGGGTGTGGAGCCAGATGAAGCCGACAATTCGCTTCTTCTTCTTTTTCACCGTCGCGATCCCTCTGCGGCGGTTCCATCGTCTTCTTCCTCTAGCGGCTTCGGATCGCGCCACGAATCTCCTATTGATGAATCGATAGGCGTTTCTTCCTTCACGGGCCGCTTTCCCTCCGTGTTTTCCCGTCACTTTCGCTCCTTCTGCTCTTCCACCTCTTCGTTCTTATCGTGCTGCTGGCTCGATCCTCCCGCTATCATTGCTTCTCTCTCCGGGACGTAGTCGGGGTCGTCCCGTCCCTCACTCAATAACTCTTCTTCTTCTTCTCTGTCTTCTTCCGCTTCCCTTATCTCCTCATTCTGCGCTGCGTTTCTCTGCGCGATCGGGTCCTAGAACGTAAGATCGGTGACGTCGATTTCCAAATAGAGCGCCTGGGAGGGATAGAGACAGTTGTCTTTGTCGATCTCCGTACACGTGGACCACACCAAGTGCGGCTCGAGCGTCCGAGACAGCACGTGGTGCCGGCCTGCTCGTCGCACCGCGACAAGATATCCAGGTGCAGATCATCCACCAGCTGGGTCAGGAACACCAACAACTCGCTCGTGACCAGGGCAAGACCTCCCTCCTCCACCTTTCCAAATACGATCCCCAGCAGATCGCCTTCCTGTGCCGTCCTCCAAGCCTGGATGATTAGGAGTTCCACACTGTCCTCTGGGTGTTCTGCCCCTTCTCCGAACGGCGCCGATTCTGACCCGCGGAACTCTATCTCCAACAAGCAGAAAACGAGTTCAATGTAGTCCTTCCACCACACATCCCACTTTTCTTTGTTCAATATAGGCGCGCTGGTCTCCTTAACATGATAGGAGAGAGTAAGGGCCCGCGTGGACTGCCAAAGAGTGGAGATGCAGGAGGGAAGGCCGAAGTAGGAGAGGCGGCGGTGACTCATTGGGGCGGCGCGAAGGGACGAAGCTCGGGAAGTACGATCGCCGGCGACATGCCGGAGGAGCGGAGTTGAAAGTCGGTGTCGTGTGCGGGCAAGAAGGTATCTCCTCGATGAGCAAGGAGTGTCGTCTATGCCGTGCGCACTTCCTCGGCCCAAGCGCGCAGAGTCCGATAGAAGTCGGGATGAATCGCCGAGGGAATCACCGTGATGTCCTTCTTGAAGACGATGACGACGGTGACGTGGCTGATCCCGATAGGGGACAGTCGTCGAAAGGCCGGGATCTCGGCCAGAATGTGCATAGTGGCCGCCTCTATGAATCAGATCTCCGCCGCCGCGTGGATTGCCGCTGTGCTGAAGAAGGCTGCGAACCGCAGGAGATCAGCACAGAGATGGGGCCCTTGCACTTGCCGGATGACGCTGATTCGGCCCCTCGGAGTAAGTAGCCGCGCACCGATCACTTGCTCTGTTGCAAAGCTCATGGCGATGGTGGCGGGGACGGGGTACCTGAGAGAGAACAAGGTGAGGGATGGACAGGCGATAAGTAGTCGTCGTCCTCTTCCGCAGCGGAGGAAGAGACAAATGAAGGTGGAGAGGACGAAGAAGGAAGGGGACGTAGATAAGACATGTGGCGGGTGATCGGTCGAGCCGATCGGCTGCTGGAGACCTCAAGCGCAAGCCGCACGGTGTTCACGCCGTTCGGTCCGAGCTCAATCACGTGGAATCGCCCGAAGAATCGTGGCGCTAGCTTACCCTGACGAGCACATTTCCTTACCTGCACAATGTCCCCCAATTTGTACTGGGGCCGTGGATCTGCGTTCCCGTTCCAGGCCTCGTAGCTTCGGATCTGTCGGCCATGGGCCAACTCGGTCATTTTCTGGCGTTTTCGGGCTAGCCTGGGGAGGGACCGTTCCATTAGCTCTAAGTGCCGCTTGGCCTTGTCCCGAACCGTGGCCCTTGTGGGCCGTCGGTTTAGCGTGGACTTATCGGGGAGGCTGGGTATCGAAACGCAAGCGACGCTATTGGTCCTTAATTGGAAGGGGCTCAGGCCCATCGATTCGTGGGGCGTTTCGCGGTGGACCGCCAGGATGTGGTCGACGATATCGGGCCAAGGCCTCGGATCTCGTGCCGCGATGTTTCGTCGCAGCGCTGTCCTTATCACCCTATTTGCGTTTTCTACCAGCCCGTTGGATTGTGACATGTGGGTCGCGGTATTCCGCACAACGACACCGTGTATGACCAGATTCCTCAACACTTCTCCCCTGAATTCCGCCCCGTTATCAGTCAGGATCTCTCCTGTGTCCTAGTGCATCCCGAGAAAACGGTTAATATACCGCGCAATTTCGGCGGCTTGCCGCGTGTAACATGGGTAGGCCTCGATCCATTTCAAAAAATGGTCGACAAACACCAACAGGATTGAATACTCACAACTATTAGGACCAGGGGGTACCATAATATCGGTAGTATCCATGCTTACCCTTTGAAAAGGTCGTTCAACTATTGTTGGTACTATTGATCTTGACGGCTGGATCGGCGCCTTGTCAGCAACACAGACTTGGCAGTTCGCGATATGAATTTCACATCGTCCCGAAGATTGGACCAGTACCATTCATTTTTGTCGATTGTCAACTTTGTATTCCGTACGACAAAATGGGCTGTCGTTTCCTCGTGTGTTGTCTTCACCCAGTCATACCTCATGAATGGGTGCGGTTTTACCATCCAAATCCCACTGCCGTCCGTTTTTCGCTTTTCTAACCTACCCTCGATGCATCGATAATCCCGAGCATTTTCATTAGCCCTCCTCCGATCTTCCTTGGTGAAATCCTGGAGGGGGTTACCCACTAAGGTAGTAATCAGAGCGATATCGGTCCTTACTTCAGCCCTTCTAAACTTCCGGGTCTTCTCCTACCCTTCTGACGTGGCATCCAAAAAACGAGCCTCGGTCGGGATCTTGTCAACCCGACACAAGGGGCACAGTCACGGCTTACTGTTATTTCTGTATTGGATGTACGAGCCATGGGCTCGTGCGACACACCGTCGACAATATACCCATTCCGCATAGCCTTCCCCGTTAGGACGCATGGAGACCGAATACACGCGAGAGATCGCTTCGCAAAAATAACATAATTTATCAGGTAGGGAAAGAAGAGATGAGGAGGAGAGGGGAGAAAGCGGGGTTACGGGAGTACCTCCGTCAGCCATTGCCACCGGCTTGCTTCCGGCCACGTGGGATAACTGCCGCTTGTCCGTACTTAGGCCCGTTCGCCAACTCTAGTTCTTTCCACGGAATGATTTCTTCGCCCTTAGGCACTTTAGCGGGTCGATGCAGACGTGTCAGTCCGTCCGCGTTCCCGTGTCTTTCTGTCTTTCGATGGATGATGTCGAAATCGTACTCCTGCAGGCTCACTGCCCATCGTCCAATCATGCCGGTGTAATTAGTGAGCTTCTTCAAAGCCACCAGAGGCTCATGATTCGTCACCAGGCGGAACTTCTGTCCGTACAGATACGGATGGAAGTGTTGGATTCCCCAGACTACCGCATAACATTCGCCTTGAGGTGCCCTCCGTTCGTCCAACACTGTTCGTGACGCATACTCGATGACGTGTTCGCGACCATCGTTCCCCTTCTGTGCTAAAATGGCGGAGATCGCTTCTGGTTGCCAGTCCGTTATAAGAATAAATTGCTTGGTAGGGTCCGGCCGGATCAAAATTGGTGCAGTGGCCAGGGCCTCCTTGAGTGCATCAAAGGCTTGCCCGCACTCAGAGTCCCACTGCAGAGGCTGATCCTTTCGAAGCAGGTTCGTGAGAGGCCGAGCAATCGCCGCAAAACCCTTGATAAAACGGCGGTAGTACGATGTCAGGCCTAAGAAGGCTCGAACCTGCGTCAACGACGTGGGAACTGGGGCTTCTCTTACGGCCGCAACTTTCCTGGAATCCGATCGCAGCCCTCCACGTGTCACTACCTACCCCAAGAGCGAAATTTCCGAGAGGAAAAATTCGCTCTTCTCGAGTGCAATCTTGAATCCAACATCTCTCAGTGTTCCCAACGTCCACTCGATGTGTTGTGCATGTTTGTGATAGGTCTCCGAGTAGACAAGGATATCATCCATGTACACGATCACGCAAAAGTTGATCATTCCCTGAGTCAGCCGTGTCTTGTTGACGAAGTTCTGGAACATCACGTTCATTGCTCGTTGAAACGTGGCAGGCGCATTACAAATTCCCATCGGACATCGAACCCACTGCCACGTGCCTTCAAACAATACGAAGGCCGTCTTCGACCGATCTTCCTCCTTAACCAGAATGTGATAGAAGCCATGCCGAATATCAAACTTGCTAAAATAATTAGCGCACTCAATCGCATCCAGTAAATCATCAATCCGGGGGAGGGATACACATCTTTAATCGTGATCTCATTCAGTTTGCGATAACCGATGCATATGCGGATTGATCCGTTCTTCTTCGGTACTAACGCTACTGGAAATGACCATGGTCCAGTGACAGGTTCGATCCAACCGCTTGCTTCGAATTCCCGAATTCGTTCGAGAGCCTTCTTCCATTCTATCAAGGAATATCGGCAAGGCTTGCAGTGAATTGGGGAATGATTTCCCGTCTGGATTTCATGTTAAATGACCAACGGTAAGGCGATGTCAGTGTTCGTTACACTAGTTGCTCCCCGATACTCCGTCAGAATGTCCGCAATCAAACGATGAATCTCATCAGGTACGAACTGTGGAATGTGTAATTCGAAAAGTTGATCCCAGATCCGTACGTCGATCTGCTTCGTGTGCGCTTGTTTTGCCACATCAAGTGGTGGCGCAAAGATAAACGAATGGTCTGATTGCCAGGAGAACACCGTAGCCATCATCTGGGCGTCTTCCTCCCGGATGGCCACGTGTCCTTCCAGGGTGATTCCATCGCAGATATCTTGCCATGGTACGGTTTGAGTCGCGATCTTAACTCCGAGCTCATCTGATTCAGCCTCGAAACGCTCAGGGGGTTCCAAAGAACTGGCCTCCGCCCCCAGGCGTAGCAGTCGTACTTCTTTTGCGGCTGTCAACAGGGACTTCGGGAGATTTGTGATATCGCAGTAGTGCCTTTTGTTGTTATACCGGGCGAGGAGAGGGGTGATTCCTTCGTACAGGGTTTGAGAGGGTTCCAAAGAATCGACCATCCTCGAAATCTGTACGAGGGGTTCACCCAAAATCACCGCTTTGGTCCTTTGTATATTCCGACTGGTTAAATGCATCGTTTTTGCGATCGTTCTGGGCGGCGGGTAATAAATGCGCTGTCGTGCCAATTCCAGAATTTCCGGATTATTTTCGTCACTGCTATCTGCATCCTTCGATGATGGCTCATCGTCTGCGGAGTTTTCCGAGGTGATCATGCGAAGAGTTCCCCCTATCATCAGAGAAACTCGCGGGACTGCGTTGATGGTAGTACGAAGAGTCAGCCTCATAGGTACAACATAGGGTTTTCCTCCCGTATTTCGGAGGATGATTGACCGTCGCTCGAAATCCAGGTTTGCTCGTAACGCCACAAGAGCGAGAAGGCCGAAAAGGACGTCGTAGGTGGTTACGTCTAATACCACGACATCTCCTAGCGCATGCACCTTTCCTAATCGAAAAGCGACATTGGTCATTCTTCCTACTGTCTTGATCTTTTCTTCGTCTGCCGAAACGAGCTGATCCTTTTCCGCAAGCATAATTAGATCGTTTTTCCTACCTGCCCTCTCAACTACTCGCAGCGAAATAACCCGAATCAATGATCGCATGGTACGGAATTCCCCATATTTCAATGTCGCATTCCGCACTTTTCCAATGGATGGGTTTAATCCGTAGGAAATGATCGTCTTTCTGGATTAAGCCTACCCGTATTGGATCCAAAGTGCCACCTGCATTTTCGTCTTGCGTGGGGTTTTTAGCCTTCACATTCGTTGTTCGGTCGAGGGCGAATCGTTTTCGATTCGCCTAATAGTGTATTAGTGTTGTAGCATTCGCTCATTAGCTTGTTCAGAGATGAAAGCAGATGGCCAATCGGAAGTGAAATCCGATGGTCCAAGACTCAGATGATGTTCAACACATCGATTTCCCCAGTGACGAAGGTGGAACCTCCCGACTCCGCCACTCCGCCACTTCTTTCTGCTCCGATGCCGGTCTAATCATTCCAATCATTCCAAGCCCCGGATAACCAAGCGACACATATTGGTCCAACGGGATGAGCTCAGCAGCCTCTTCCGTGGTAGCTAACGTACTTCCTCCTCCTCCCATTTCTTCCATCAGGGCTCCTAGCCGTCCAAGTCCGTTAGCGATGGGGGCTGTTGCCATTGGTGCAACCCCGACCCGTTGTTGCGGGGGCCGGTGGGGGCAATCACGGGCTAGATGCCCTGATTGATGGCATGCATAACAAACATTCAGATTGCTTGTGGCCCCTCCAAGCGCAGGTGCCGGGGCCGGTCCTTGTTGGATTGGAGCGGCACGTACTGCGATGGGCCGCATGTTCGTCATCATAGCTTCTAGCCGAGCGTTATGCTCTCGTTGTTCCTTTTTGCTCTCCTGGATTAGGCTAATTAATGTTTTGGCCAGTTCAAAAATAGCAGTGGACTCATTTGACCGTACAGGGTTCTCAATCGGTGGCGGGGGTGCCGTCATGACAAGTGTTGGCATCACAGGAACAGGGACACTCGTAATTACACTCGGGGCCTGTCGTTTAGGGGCTATCTGTTCCAGATAGGTGACTGGGCTAGACACAAATCCCATATTCTCGAACCTGTTTTGCAACGCGGCCAGCTCAGCTTTTGCCCTCGCAAATTCGGACGAATCCCCTTCCTTAGGATAGTCTTCCCCTTCCAGGAAACTCGCCGCGAACTTTCGTTCCATCTCCTCTGCAGCGACTATAATCTGCTGTAGCGTATGATTGATGGGGGAGAACTGCTTTCGCAGCTTCTCCCTTATCGTTCGGCTGCGAAGTCCATCGATAAACAAATCTCTCCCGACTTGCTCGCCCCGCTCAGTTTTCACGAACATCCGATAGAATCGGTTTCAATATTCTGCGATAGACTCAAGAGGTTTTTGCACCCGGTCTTTAATCATGAAAAGTGCTTGCTCTGGATGGAAATAGTCGAATCGATTCAAAAAGGCTCGCTCGAAGGTCGGAAGATCCACCCATACATAGGTACTAAACCAATGATGAGCGTCTCCTCCTAATCGGGCGGGAATATTTCCCTGAGCTTCATTATCGTCATACTGCTGTGCCCGGATCGTGACCAGCCATGCTCCAGCAAGCTGATGTGCAGGGTCGAACAGATAGAGAGCAGGTGGCGTCATGGGAGCCCGTGCTCGTGGGGCGGGTTGATTAGGATTTTGTTGTTGATTCTGCTGCGGATTCGGATTCAGTGGATTGGCGTTCATGTTGGCTGCCGGTCGATTAGCCGATCTACTTCGGGTAATGACGAGGTCGCGTCTATGCGTGTTCCGGGTTCGAGGTCGCCCTCGGTTAGCCAGATCACTCAGTTATCGCGCCGTTAGACCTTACAACCCGATAATAACCTCACGCCCAGCGCGACTTCCTGATTGGAGTGGGGTATAAGCCTGGAAGTGCGGCAAGGGGTGTGCCAGGGATTTTTGGGAAAGTCGGGGTAGAGTCCCTGGTCAGAACTGAGATCTCCTGTGGCAGAGTTTTTCGGGGGCACGGGTGCAATTTGGCAGAGAGGGCGGACCACTTCTGGTCATAAGGCATATGGCATGCGCGGGTCATTTATGGCCATTCGATCCATCTGTGTAGAGGACGACGGTTCATCGGAAGGTCCCTTCGGGGTGGGTGTGATCTCGATGAGTCTGGTCGTCGATTGCTGCCACGTGGCGCCGGTCGTCGTATGTTCTGGTTGGGCCCTCGCGGTCCCGAGGTTCTCTGGTTGCCGCGTTGTCGGCAATTTTCGCAGGGCATGCTGGGCCAGTAAGGGGCTATAGCTTTCCACGGGATGACCCTCAGTTGATGATACAGGAGAAGAAGACGGAAGGGAGGGAAGTTAGTGGAGATAACGACAAAGCCGGGGGAAATAAAGTAGTGAGTGTGGTCTGCGGTGGGGAAATCAGAGCACCGTGGATCGCTGGTTGTGGCACAATGGAACTCCCTAGGACATAGTCGGTTCTCGGTTAGGCAGGGGAACCTTTGTCGGAGGCACTCCTCAATCCAAGGGGTGAAGTACTCCGGGTCGTACGACGAATCCGAGCTCCCGGAGCATGTCATTATGTCATCGTAGAGCCGCGAAAGTCCTAAGGATGTGTCTTCATCGATTGCGATGACCGCTTGTGAATACGTGTAGGCTACGCGAGTCGCGCTTACACGTGTTCACACGGGATGATTGTTTCGTCGCTGACGTGGAAGGGCCACATCCAATCAGGCAATACCCCTGTAATCGCTAAGTCTTTTTATATGTGGTGGGTTGCGAATCGACGCGCGGGGACTCGTGTAAATGCGCAGATCAGATCGCACCTACGCGCGCCCCTGCGCGGCGTTCGCTGGTTTTCTAGGCAAATCGTTATCCGACCATCTAAGCCTTTCGTAATTTCTGAGCTGGCAAGATGCAACAATCGCAACAGCTCAATCAATGGGTACACAAGAACGGAAGCATATTGATGACTACACAAAAGTTCCTACCCTACTCACGAATGCATCAGGACGATGGGTAAAGGCCAAGATCAAGCAACCAGATATAACATCCATTCATCCATTCATTCAACATAATGCACTTGAGATCCGAGATGGAAATCGCAAAGGCGAGTGTAGACGAAAGAAAACCAAGCCAAGATTCCGAAAACAAAAACGGGCGAATCGCCCTGATCCGATATCAAAATTTATATACATCAGCCGAGAGGGAGAAAACACAAAAGAAACAGCAAATCCGCGATTCCGCGTCCATCAACCTCAGCTGCCTCTTCCTCTCTCTCTCTCTCCGATGCGGACAGTCCGTCGTCACGCACCAACCCACGAAGCCGTCACCCCACTTAGTCCTCCCGCACCCGTCAGGTTCGCCCGCGCCCACAGTCCATCGTGGCCCCCGTCAACCCCGCTCGTTTGGCACCAGCTCGTCGGGTCGCCCGACTCCCACTTCAACTCACCTCTTACTCGCTCGTGAGCCGACCCTCACTGATCGCGTTACCTCGAGCTTCTAGTTAACTGGTTAAGAGAGCTAACTAATTGCGCAGCCAGAATTTATAGCGTGCATGCATGCGCGAAGAACACGGAATTACAAGGACTTAGAAAGGAGATTAGAGAGGGAGCGCCTGCGTTTTGCATGACCGGGCTGCGGCGTGGGGGACTTTGCCCCTCTCCACGCATCGATCCGATCGTGCAACCCGCGGGCGGGCTAGACATCACAAGAAGAAGCGAAGGCGGGAAAGACGAAGCACAAGAAGAAAGATATAGTTACAATGGCGCCCGCCCAAAATTACAGTTACACACACGATTAAAGGCGCCGACTAATCAGAGTTCCGTTGCAGCCGCACGAAGAAGCGCGTAAACAAAAAGCGTCGCACGGCTTAGAAGAAATTCCTAATTATAAAATTCCTAAATTCCTATCTAACACAGACAAAGGCGGACAACACAAATTCCGAAAGAAAAGTCCGAATTTCCGAGAGCCATCGGTGCTCGACAAGATTCGAAAAAGAATTCAAAAAGAAAATAAAAAAAGAACGAAGCAAATTCTCGCGCGATGTCCGCGCCTAAATTCCAAAATCGAAACAAAAGAAGCGACGTCAACAGCGCGCCAACCATTCAACCGACCAATCGACCGATCGTCCCGGGACACGCCCTATTCCGAACCCAACCATCGAAAAAGGAGACGACGAAAAAGACGAAGAAGCAAGGACACCAATGCAATTTCCTTCCTATCCCGATCTTTCGTAATTGGCCCATTCCTCCCAACTTAGGACCCCTCATCGCTATGGCGCAGGAAATCGCGCGGTGCGGAAATCGGATCGTCACACTACACTACTCTTCTTTCTTTCTTTCTTTCTTCTCACCTTTCTCTTTCTTCCCCTCGTCATTTTCTTGGCCTGAATGTGTTCTCACATGGCTTGCTTTGTTGCATGATTTTATTTCCACTGCGACACATATGCAAAGAACCGGTGGGGGATTTTACCCTCTCCGCGTGATTGTGCTGCTTGCCTGCACGACCACTCCATCCGACTTTTGCTATTTCCTTGTTCTGTCCGGCTCTTGTCGTCATTTCCCTGTCATAGATCTTTTCTTTTTCTTTTTTTTTCGCTCAATCATCGTTGGTCTTATTAGTACGACCTTTTTGACTCGGCAGGGACGGGTTAGTCCTTATGAGAAGAAGGATGACTTAACAAAGTGTTTGCCATTTTTGTCAGCTACCTGGCCATTTTATTAGGGAATGTCCCTTTCGGCACCAACCCAATGGAGCAGAAATGGCTGCGCGAATTCGAGAAGGTGGAGCGGGTGGTCCGATTTGGAGCGACAACAATGACATTCTGCAGGCACCATAGCAGGGAGCTCGCACGTCAAGTGCGATCGTCCCTTATCAAGGCCCGCAGAGCAGGAGTAATGGCAATTACGGGGGAGGTTACAATAGTGGTGGAGGCTATAGAAACAGTGGAGGTTATAACAACGGTGAGGATACAACAACAATCAGAGGTACACTAAGTAGTGGGCAGGGGGTTATAAGGATCAGGATCAAGACGAGAAGGTTGACCGAATGTATAGCCTGCTGTCAGAACAGATGGAGGAGAGGGAGCAACGTAAACGGGAGAAGGAAAATTTAGAATTGTTCCAAGAAGAGAAGAGGAAAGTGCTAATCGAGGAGGAGAAAAGGACTCAAGCTATGAAGGAAAGAGAGCAGCAAGAAGCCAAGCTGGGCAAGATTGTAAGGACTAGTGTGAAAGCAGTTTGCGAGTCAACACTTGGGAGGAAGGTGGATATTCCCGAGGATGACGAGAGCGAAGTTTCTAAGCTGAGGAGAGAGTTGGAAGAGCTGCGAGCCAGGAACACGGAGGAACTGAGTGAATCTTGATTAGATGCACTACGTAAGGAGAAGGAGGCCCTATTGATGACCAAGAATCGGCAAAGTGAGGAAGAACGTTTGAAGGAGGAGATAGCAGAGTTGAAAAGCTGAAAGGAACAAGGAAAATCAGACGATGCGAAGAAGGATAAGATCCTGGCTTTGCAACTGCACATGAAGGAACTCGGTACCATCCGTATGACTTCGGAGGAGAAGTCCGCGGAGGTCTCCGCCCTCAGGACAGAGAATACTCATCTCAGGAAGGACGTTGTGGGTTTGAAGGAGGAGTTTCTCAATCTGAGGAACAAGAGGGAGGCAGGGGCTGTGATTGAGAGCAGCCCACCCGAGGAACCAGCCAGAGGGAAGCAACGGGGTGATCCATCCAGTACGGCAATGTATACACCGAAGGACCTGGAGGCTTTGCAGAAGGCTTACAAGGCTGCGTTGGAGGGGAAGGACATGGCGCTCAAGGAAGTGGAAAAACTTGAGTGTATGACTATGATGGGTGCCTCACGTGTGCGGGCATCGTATCGGAAGCCCCTTGGGAGGAAAACGACACCTCATAATCTAAGGGCAAGCTTTCAAACGGTGCACGTTGAGTCGGATGATTAGGAAAAGGAGAAGGATACAGAGTAGGGGAAGTGCAATCCTCATAGTATTGAGGATGTGGCTCACGATCTTGAGGTGGCGAAGATTATGAGTTTTAAGGAGAACAGACTCAAGGAGCTCCGAAATGCCAAGAAGGCTGATATGAAAGCAATTTGTGCTGACGAGGGTATCACCTACATCAAGTTGGACCAATCTAGAGCTGACGTAGCAGAGATCAGGGTCAGCCGGGACTACGCAGCTTGGTTAAAGGAGAAGGAACCTCCTGAGGAGGAGGATGGCGAGCAGCAGTACGCTACATCGAATGAGGAGGTCGATGTTGTGTGAGGACACTCCCTGAGCGTGTCGCACCTTCGTGAGCTGGCGTGATTTTTATGATGTTTGACGTGCAGATCAGCTTCATTATATTTATCGTTTGGTGGTCGTTTTACTCATTATTCGAGGAGGCATTAGTTGGTGTGGTAAGTTTCGCGATTCCTTGTGGGCTCTATTAAGTAGGAACTACGATTTTTACTCTTGTCCTGGTCCGGTGGTTTATGCTTTAGTCTCTCCATATTATCGGCATGTGTATATAGGATGTACGAAGAGATCTCTTACAATT